AAACCTGCTAGGGGGCAGGTTAGCTTCACGGAGTGTGTCGTCATAGTAACTCACTCAGGATTAATCTAAACTCGCTTTGTGAAACCGAAAACCCAGAGTTTTCGTTAACTCAGGGTATACTTACTTAGAGTTTGCACTAAACCGGCTTTCTGAAACAGGGCCCTGGAGAGCAGTGAGAAGTGAAGCACAGTAAAAAAACAAAAAACAAAAACAGCACAGGGCCATGACATGCTCATTTAAAACATATATGTCTTGTTACAGCACATTTTGTGAAACTGAAAAGGAAAAATGCAACAGGAAGAAATCATGGACATATATTTATCCAGTTTCTCTCATTAAAAACAAGAAAATCTGGCTTTTTGTTGATAAAATTACATTTGCGAATGTGGAACCATGGGCACATGGGTAGCATTACATTAGTAATAAAATAATTTAAAAAAAAATATGTAGCATAAAATGCTGAAGTGTCGTTGCCCCTCATTGCAAGAGTCTTCTTTGATTTTCAGTCCCCGTTGCTGATTGGTCGCACTGTTATGGGACATGAGTTGACTGACGCCGCATTCCACCAATTAGATTTGCTTTATGGAAAAGACGTCTCCACTTTCGCCAATCAGCTCCTGGGAAATGAAAACACACTTGAGTCTCCTCCCCCTTCCCTTCAGTGTGTGTGAGAGCAGGCTGTAGCAGGGCTGATGTAAAGTTGCCTGTACCCGGTTAGCAGTGAATACCTGTCGTCAGCATTGGAGGTTAAATTCCATATTCTTTAAATATAAAACTAGCGCGTTTTAGCGGGCTGCTGCTGCTGCTGCTGTAACAGAGCCGAAATGGCGACGGAGATAACGAAAGGTGTGGAACAGATCTCAGTAGGTAAGGAAGGAGAGTGAGCGATCTGGTTAGCTAGCTCCCACAGACATGTGTGCCTTTAATATTGCATCAGTTGCAGAGATGTTAGCAGTTAGCCTGCTGTGTAACACCACTTTCGGATTCTGTCAGGTCTCTGAGATGATATGAGCTAATATGCGGCATGATCACACATCGATCGGCCCTTCTTACCGCTGCAGAACCAATGAAAGTCATTATACAAACGAAAACATTAGCAAGGATATGCTAACATTTAGCCACGGCAGCTGTCAGTTTGCAGTGGAGAAGCAAAAGGAGGCTGCGGCAGACCTGGATTTGAATATTTCACCGTCTTTTATTTAATTGATCAAACCAATATCTAACCCGTGACTGTATTTCAGTCTGTTTTAATCAAGCAGAAAACTGAAGGTACTTTCGGTTTCATCTCAGGGTGTCACTATGATAGAATTCACACATATGTGGTGTAAATATACAGCAGATTTTTACACATTACATGTAAAGTTCGTGTATCGATAAAAAGCGTGACATTCTTAGTTTTTACCATTGCCTATTGTTACCCTGATAGCTGACTATTTTACATGTCACAGATATTAAGATATGATGCAATCTTGCGGATCACATTGCTCAGTGGTATATAGTACATGTGAAAGGTACTGCATCTCCAAATTCTTCACCAGGACTAAATTCGAATACAGTTTTATTTATATAGCGCCAGTCACCTCATTAGCTTTATATTACTATATTGAAGAGGGAACCCCAAGGGTCACACGGTCACTCATGAGGATGTACTCACTTTTAAAAGGAACCAGAACAAATGAGGGATGGTGCAAGATGACCTGATCCCATAAGCTTGAACAAGTAAAGTTTGAAGCCCGGACTTAAAAGTACAGAGGGTGTCTGCCTCTTTGTCTGACATTCTTGAGCTATCAGGAAAATCTCCTGTGTAGGAGCCGGTTCCTGAAGGCTCTGTCTCTGATTCCTCTTTTGGAAACTGAGTCTGAGAACAATGTTCTCTACTAGGATAATTTGGTACTTTGAGGTCTGAGATATGGTGGCGCCTGATTTTGCAAGACTTTATATATGAGGGGCAGAAGTTTAAATTCAGTTCTCGTATAAGAGGGCGCTAACGTGGGAGAAATGTGACGTCTCCTTCTTGTCCTTGTTAGTACTGATGTGTGGAAGTATTTTAAATGTGTTTTGCTCACAGCATTTTAGTTGTCTTGAATGAAGAGTAGGCCCTGCCTTGAAGGCAAAATCTGAGCGCCAGTAAACTTAAGAGATTGCACATACTGAGAAAATACTGAGCCGACTGTGCTGGTGTTTCTCAGGTGAGCTGTATGTGTCAGATAAATGTGGCAGCGACCAAGACGGAGATGGCACGGAGCAGAAACCCTTCAAAACTCCTCTCAAGGTAACTTGTTTGTTTACTTCAGATGTGCACGGGTAAAAATGCTTCAGGCTGCATGGATTGTGGGATGTCTGTCAGCACCTCACTGTGTCTTTGGATCTTCACAGGCTCTGTTGTTTGCTGGAAAGGAGCCGTTCCCCACCATCTTTGTAGAGTCCCAGAAGGAGGGAGAGGTTGGTTATATTTATAGATGATCACTTTAACATGGATAGAAATCCAATCTTTACCATTTTGAACCAAACTTTGCAAGTTTTATTCCAGTACCAGCTGCAGCACCTGTTTTTACTAACTGTTATTAATGACTGATTCAGTTTATTTTCCTCCTCGTCTCCCTCAGCGCTGGGCGGTGATCTCTAAGACACAGATGAAGAACGCAAAGAAGGCTTTTAACCGCGAGCAGATAAAGAACGATGCCAAAGAAAAGAAGGAGGTTTGTGTCTAACCTCGAGATGTTTCCTACAATCAGTGGGTCACAAAACATTCTACAGATTCAATCGTTTTGTGCTTTTCTCTTCATTATGGCTCCGCTGTGTTTGTCGTAAAGGCCGAGGACAACGAGAGGAGAGAGAAGAACCTGGAGGAAGCCAAGAAGATCGTCATTAAGAACGATCCCAGCCTGCCTGAGGCTGAAGCAGTCAGTCTTTCTTATTTTACCTGTATTTTGGCTCCTGCTCCTTTTATAAAGTTTGGTTTTAAGTCTGATTGAACTTGAACACAGAAGTTAGCAAAAAACAGTCCAAAGAACAGCAGCTCTGAATGCAGCTTCATTTCCAGCTCCATCTTTTTAGTGTTAGACTCAGAGTAGCTTTGCATGATTCACAGTTCAAAGTAAACAGCTTGTTTCGTTTCTATCTGAAATCACTGAATGACTGCATTATGCTTGATTTATGTTTACATTTAATTTGAAATATAAGGCCTGAGCTTTTGGTTGCTTGCAGATTTATAAACCTCCTTATTGGGAACCGTTTTATGAGAATTAATTGTTGTAAAATAATATATATGAGAAAAAATAAGAACAGCCCTCTTAACCTGTTCCTTAAAGTTTCACTTTTTGGTTCTTTACATTCATTTTTAATATTTTGCAGCGGATGCAGCGTTTCTGAATAAAAGTCACATACAGTTTAAAAACAAAGAAAGTAGATTAAGCTGAAAGTAACTGGCTTTGTGTAGATAGAAAACAGTTCACAGACGACATTCCTGAACCAGAATGGTTTGTGTGGAGCGATAAGCTTTGGCTGGTTTGCTGCTGTTTGAATTGAGCAGCTGAAACACAGAAGTTTGTTTTAAACCCCAAACTAGCTGAACAATCAATAGAAATAGAAATATGACTCCAAAGTCTGAATCATTTCACTGATTCTTCTTCTTCCTGGTGATGATTTAAAGATGATTGTTGTCTTTATTTCAGGTTAAAATCCATCGTCTCCAAGAAAAGAGAGGCCAGAGGGTCAAAGTGTTTGGATGGGTTCACCGCCTCAGGAGGCAGGGTGAGGAAACAGTCGATCCATTCAGTATTTACTCATTCTCATTTCAATTTAAGATTCCAAAGTCAGAGAATTCAAAACTGATTCGTTGCTTGTTATTCATTTATAATATGGACAGCTGCATTAAAGGCTTAAACGAGGATGTTTCTGAATTATTTTGCATTTTAAAATAATGTCAAAATGACAAACTTGAAATGAAAAGATTAATTTGTAAGTTTAAGATTCTTTACTGACTGTGAAAAGAGAGAAATGATTAAGATTCAGTTTTTAAGATTGAGCCAAATTAAGTTTTTTAAGAGGATAGAAATTAAAATGTTACTTTGAGTCAACATATGTGTATTATTATGTTTTTTTGCTTTTTATTTTGTCTCCTCCAGGGAAGAACCTGATGTTCCTTGTGCTGAGAGATGGCACCGGTTTCCTCCAGTGTGTCCTCTCCGATCAGCTGGTAAAGCTTCATAAACCCCCATTTTTAACCTTTCTACACTGTGAGCTACATGTTACGGTTAAAAATTAAATGTTCATGTCCTGTCACGGCCAAAAGTTTGGCACCGGTGTGGTTTTTCACAATCTTTGCTGCTTCTGTCTTTATTCACAGTGTTTCTGTGTTGTTGTGCAGAGTGATCAGAAACATATTCACAAGCTGCAAAGAGCTCCCTGGGATTAAAAAGTTTTGTTTTTTTGGGGGGGATAAACGTTTAACTGCCGCTCCTAAAACATTTGGCCGTGAATGTAGTTCAAGACATTTCTTTTTATCCTCTACCACCAGGCCTAAGCAGAGAATCAAAGATTTAACAAAATCGGTGGGAGTGATTCATTTGAAGTTGGTGCTTTAAAAAGAAGCTGTTTAATTTCTGAAGTTGATTCTGAGTGCGACTCTCTGTTGTTCTTGTCTTTAGTGCCAGTGCTACAACGGCTTGGTTTTGTCCACAGAGAGCACGGTGGCTATTTATGGGACCGTCACTGCAGTTCCTGAAGGAAAGCAGGTAAACTCACCTGCTGCAGAAACCTGCTCTGCCTGTGCATGCTCACAGGAAACTAGGTCACCCAGAGCAACATGTTTACATGCCCCACAGTTCTTCCTGGAATCATCCTAACAAGAAATCACCGCATGACTGAAAGTGTATTTCAGTAATGAGATTTGAGTTTCTGTTATTTTTATCAGTGTACAGTAAATATGTTGTGTTAAACTAATAGTTGAACAGAACAGAAAACTTTGTCTTCTGCTAAAGTCTGAACCATGACTGAGGAACAACCTGAACAATCTAGTAAACCGTCTGTTTCCACTGATGAGCCTCCTCAGCCGTTACAGATGCTCTGCAGATGCAGGACGGAGATGTTCAGTGATTTCTCCTCGTCTTCTTTTCTCAGGCGCCCGGAGGCCACGAGCTGCACGGCGACTACTGGGAGCTGGTTGGCTTAGCTCCGGCGGGCGGGGCCGACAACCTACTGAACGAGGAGTCGGACGTGGACGTCCAGCTGAACAACCGACACATGCTGATCAGAGGAGAGAACGTCTCCAAGATCCTCCGAGTCCGATCCACAGTCACACAGTGCTTCAGGGACCACTTCTTCAGCTGTGGGTACTACGAGGTGAAGCACAGATTTATTGTGGATGCTAAAATGTGGTGGGGTTGGGTTTGTTTTGTTTTTGCTTCTTCACCTCTAACAGGAAAGAAATCCCCGAACCTGATGACCTCACTTTTAGTCAGTGACACTCTGTGCTTCTGTCACAGGTTGAGAGTAGTTTTGCAGATTAGGAATCAGATCCACCTGAACTGAAAAGCTCCTTAGTCACGTCAAGTCGATGCTGCTGGCCAGATGCAAGCTAAATAGCTTTTTTCCAGTCTTCTTAAAGCAGCTGCTTGAGTTTAGCTGGTCACATATTCCACCTGCAAATATCTGTCTGTGGCCTAAGTTTGTAGTTTTTAGCTGATTGTCTTATCTGGGACCTATTGAAGGATTTAGCCTCTATCAGATAAGAGCCTGGTACTACGTCTTCTTATCAAATCCAAATGCATTCAAATCACTTCTTCAGTTTGTTTATTTGATTACAGATATTTTAGTCATAAAAGTGCAGTTTAA